GGGTCTTCACCCACATAATCCTTAAATTGAATCACAAGTGATAATTACCTCATTCTTAGGATAATTGAGACATCAGTGTTCACTGAGCATTGAGGGTATTTACAAGATGAATTATTAAGAAAAATAATAAGTTTAAAAGAACTCGGGACTTTCCACCAGGCAGCGAGAAAGCAACACGGACCTGCTTCTTTCTCTAGATTTGTTGGATACCTCGGAGATCTACTAAACTTAATATATTTTACTTGATAAAATCATCTTTAATTGATTAAATAGGGACCCACCATGATATGACCTAGGGTTAGGTAGGTTGTCAAAATTTTACTTCCTTGTTTCATATAAACTGCCTTAACATGCCTTTTGAGTTTCAAGTGGTGAAACGAGAAGTCTCACCAAGTACGTTTTTACAGTTTTCAGTGTTGTCTTTATTGTACTTTCATACTGTACTTTTATACTTGCAAACTTGCATGCTAAACAACGACGCCACCTTGCATGAAAACTAAAACTATCAGGATAGCCACAAAACCAAAACCAAAATCAAAACCAAAACCAAAATTAAAATCAACCAAGATAAAATTCACCTCCACAATATTCAAAATATAAGATAACTCAAAATTTAATCACAAACATCACGAAACAATAATTGCAACTAAATTAAGACATCTCTATTGGATGATCTGGAATCACTTGGAGGAGGTAACCTACGGTTGCTAACGAGATTTCCCATGGTCTAAATGAAAGTACGAAATTCATTATGTTGAGTTTAGTAAATTTATCTGGACTAAGTGAATCCAGGAGAAAATAGTGGAGCTGGAATGAGGGAACCGTAAGATCCTAACCGGTATCGCTCTAATCAACTTTAATATGCCCTTATAAAATTTAAAAAGTTTCAACCATAAGCCCCCTGATTTGACATTATAACTTGACACACTAGAAAACTCAAACTCGTCGCGACAAGGAGGTTGGAGCTAGCGTGGTGGGCAGCACGACCATCTTCAACAGCAAAACCTATCTTCCCCAACTAAACCAATCTTCCTTCCTTAGATATAAATAACAAAAGCCATAGGAATTTGAGATTGATTGCTTAAGCAACGTAAATCCTCACCTTATCTTTAGGCCTTTGTATAGCCCTGTTATACAATATAAGCCCTAACTTGTCTTAGGATTCCGAGGTTGTCGTTTGTCACGACCTAAATCCTCACATCTTTCAAGCTATTTGTGTGATCGTTTTACATGAATGTAAGCCCTAACTAATAAAATTGACAGGATGAAACACCTAAATATTT